AGGCCAACAACGGCAACGCAACGGCCCCCGGCCAGCTTTATTCTCCCCCTCTGGCCCAAAAAACCGTACGTTTTCCTAACCCGGGCCTTCCATCCCCAGGACCACAGTGAATGGCCCTACCACTACATTTCCCAGTATTTTTTTCAGTATCAATCCCACACAGCTTCAATTTGACTGAAGCATCAAGCTGCACGCAGTGTAACAGTACAACCAGCAACAGAACGCAGCACTTCGGCAAGCTTCAGTTCTCTTGGCAGTACGCTCCCTCCAATGATGCCTTCATCAACAAGGGCAGCGCACCTGCTCAGAGGCAGAATTTGGGAACAAGTCTTTTTTAAAAGAGTTAAGGAAAACCACGGAAGGCTAAAGGCATTAGGAAGGGACACATCCACTGGAACTGATGTTTGGCCAAGCATCTTAAAAAAACCCCAAACCTACAGAGGTTGATATTTACTGCCTGCGAGGATCTGAAATGTTGAGGTAAGGAAGCAGAAGCATCAGAACATCCCTTGTGGGATGACACAGCACACTGGTCGACATAACATGGAACCGCTTGCAGATGGCATTAGCAAGACATTTAAACATGACCCAAATTCAGTCCCGTAGCTACAGAGAATACACAAAATTAATTTTACTTCCCTATTTAAGTGGATCTCAGGCCAGTCCAACAGAATTTGTGATTTTCTTAAGGGGGCAGAGAGGGAGCAGTTACATCTCCTCCAAGCCCTGTACACACAGCCACGCTTCCAGATCAGTTCCGAGAAGCTTTGAACAAACGCTACACTTGCCTCGAAGCGCTCGTACTCCCACAAACCAGAAATTTCCTTCTCCAAGTTACAAAGACTCAAAATTATATTGCACCTACTGAGGCCATTTAATTTCTTCCTCAGACTAAATTCCCTGCTCAGGAATGCAGACCAGAGCATCTGAGTGGTCCCTGAATGGGTTAGGTCATCCTCTTGTTTCCAAAATCTTCTGTATTCCTGAAGGAACGTATAATAAAGTTTGAAATACATACCTAAAAGTAGGAGACAACTAAAGAAAAAAAAAAAAAAAAACCAACAAAAACCCACCATCCCCAAGACAAACAGAATCTTAACCATTTTGTTTAATGTTGTACAAAAAAAAATTTGGTGAGTATTACAATGAAAAGTGATTAAAACACTGATACCACATTGCCATCCTGCTACCTAAACAGTTGAGATTCATTCCTCTAGTCATACGATAGAAAGCTTAGTGGCCTTCGGGAAAGAATGACAAAAAAAAAAAAAAAATCCTTGCATCACATGTATTCTTTTCTCTACATCTTAAAGCTGTGCTCACAGAGACGGCTTCTTCTGTCAGACTCTTCAGGTGTACAGGAATTCAGTTGTAAATAAAGTTGAACCTAAAATTAAGAGGATTATACCAGGTGAGGGATTTTCATTCTTTTCATTTAAGTGACATTTTAAAATGAACAAGCAAACGTTCTGTTCCTGCCCTTGATAAGCCTCCACCCAATGGTACACAAGTGAATTTTTTACTAAGACAGCTTTATAGTATAGCAGGAAGCATCATTTTTAACGGCCAATCCTACACTAGGATTGCACAACAGTCTCTTATGGTTGCAGAAGAACTAATTATTAACGTTTCGTCTCTTAAGAGAGCTTCACAGATAGGAAAACACCAGTGAGAGTTACACACCGCCACCAACAACTATTTCCCAGCATTTCTGCTATCAGGGCCAACTTTATACGCCCCAAGGGCAACAGATGAGTATACCCAAGAGAACAGCTCATTCTGCTCAGCTAAATTTCACAACAAGCAGCAGTCACACAGCGGAAGCAAGCGTCTCAACTTCCAGATGTCTGTCCTTGGGACGCCTCTGACGCGCTGGTACCAAACTGGCATTTGCCTGTGTCATAGCCAGCGTTTTGCTGGTTACTCAGGAGAAAGTATCTGCTGCCTACAGAGCAGGGGGAAGCCCCCATCACTACAACTGCCCAAACTGGGACTATGGGGAGAAAAAAGAAAAACCAAACCCTGTTACGGGCAATACCAGTGCTGACATTCTGTTAACAGATTTTTATTTTCATTGAGGTAGGTGGATGACGGAATTCCTTCCCCGAGGAACAGCCAACAGGCTGGGTGATGCCTAGTATTCCTGAACACTTGCTGGAGTTAACAGAAACCAGTGAGACCGGTGAGCTCTGGAGACCTGAGGTACAAGCTATTTTCAGGTAAGAAAGCCAAAAAGCGCGTACATTAGGAAAAGGAAAGAAAAAATACAGCTGTCCCTAGAGGTATTTGGTTAGAAACACGCTGCACGTTATAAACTCTGCTACACAAGCGTCTAGGAGAAAAAAAACAAAACAAAAAAAGCAGGAAGCTGTGATAACACGCACACCTAGTGCAACGCCTCAAACTTTTACTCTCACACTGCCCCCAACACTTGCAACAAGCTGTTCCTTAGCCCGCGCATAGCTTCATCCTTGCCCTCTTTCCTCTTTTCCTTTGCTACAACTGCTAGATAGGAATTTGCTGCTAGCAAGTTGCCATCAGCACCTCTAAACTGTCCATCCCATCTCGTCTGAGACAGATTTGAAGCTCTCTGGCGTAGCTGCAGCCCTTTCACGGCTGGTTTCTGTAGTGCCTAGCCTTCCTCAGGTGTCCCGCAGCAAACATGTATCCCAGGAATGATAATACAAATAAATCATAATATACCTGCTCAAAAGTTGAGGAAGGCTGGAAATAATGGGTCCGTATCCCGGTGCGTTGTCATAGAGTTCAAACAATGGTGCAGCGACCAGCTTGTAATTTTTGGGGACTGCAAACAAAGCTAAAAACAAATCGGAGGTGGTTAATAAGAAAAACCACCACACATTTCAGCCAAGGCATCACCACCCCTCAAAACAAGATCACTACATATAACACTATGGTACTATAGGTTTGTTCCTCTTCCAGTTAAATACGGGGTTCCTACACTGTACATACACCGATGCCGGAGCAGGAACGAGCATTTACGAGGAGCTCCTGTTCAAAGGACTGCCCTACCTTCAAAACTGGTATCAGCACTGAATTTTTTTAGCAATCAATTATAAACAACTGCAAAGCATACAAACACAAATGC